TATTCCTTACCCCTTACCCCTTACCCCTTACCCCTTACCCCTTACCCCTTACCCCTTACCCCTTACCATCGTAATCTTCCCCCCTCCCACCACCCTCCCCCGCCCTCCCGGGCCTCTGCAGGGCCGTGCCGTACTGGTGTTCGAGGTTGCTCGTCCAAACCCCGAAACCACTAGTGCCGAGCTGGCGGAGCTGGCCAAAGCGTACGTCACCTTGGGCGGTGCATCCGCTCTGGCCGTCCGTACAGACTCCGAGTCCACACCCTCCGGTTTGCGCGACTTGTTCACTGTACAGCAGGCCGTACCCCGGGTGCCCGTACTTGCCCGGGACTGGCTCATACACCCCCTACAGGTGCGATTGTGTGTGTGTGGGGGGGGGAGGGCGGAGGTGGGCATGGCGTGATCTGACCGACATGACATGACATTGTAGGCCCAGTGATATCACGAGGGGTCGGGGGAAATGAGGGGGGGGTGCTGTCTCCTCCTCAAGGGATGTTCTGGGTCGTAATCCGTAGTCCTCAACGCCGTCCTCAGCCACAACCTCTCGACCCCCCTCTCGTTCCCGACCCTTCCCGGCCTGAACGCATCACATCACCCCACTCACCCCACTCCACTCCACGCCACCCAGGTGTGTGAGATAAAGGAGGCGGGAGCTGCGGGAGCCCTGGGCATCATCAACCAGGTGGGGCTGCGAGGGAGGACGTACGTCTGTGCGTGTGTATATATGTGTGTGCTGGGGACCGTGCTAAAGGAGTCTCTCTGTCTGTCTGTCTGTCTGGTTGTCTAGCAGTTATCTTCTGAAGCTCTTCCTCGCGGCGACCTGTGTGATCGGCCACGACGGGGGGGGGAGATCCTGTAAACCTCCCGCAGGCGTTGGGGTGGGTGCTGGGGACGGGGGATGTCCGCAGACATACATATCTGGTCCAACCCCGAACCCATTTCCTCACCAACACCCTCCTCTCCCTCCCGGCCCCAGGTGACCGGTCGGGGCACGGGAGTGATGAGCAGCTTCA